CACATCCTTGTCTTACGCCCCTTTCTATTTTTCATTTTCTGTACGTATGCAGGCGGTTTGCTGTAAGTATAGATTTTTGATTATACTAATATCCTTCTGTTGATTTCAATATGTCAAGGAATGTATGCTAATTGTTTAAAAATACATTTTTGGCACAAGGCCAAAGTTGAAGTAGGGTAGGGCTAGTGAACAATAACTACACTACACAGCTAATCAGATTCACGACCCATTCATTCATTCATTCTTTACAATTTGCTTATTCACCACAAGAACCCATCCATTACCATCCAATCCTACATATACCATAATCCCATATATCCAGAGGGAACCTGCAAAAAACCCTATGACATAAAAATTTCTTTCCTATTTTTTTTCAAATTTTCTTTTTCTTTTAAAAATATATAAAAATATATGACCATGAAATAGGGGAGGAGATATACGACAAGACAAAACTAAAATGTAACAAATTATTCAAACTAACAATGACAGATATTAGTAGGAGCAGTCCACCCCCAGAATTAAGAGCGGTCACTGTAATATGATTTTGACAAAACGAAGAAGTTCACTTACTAATGCAGGGGGAAAGATAAAATTAATGACGGAGTATGAAAATCAAAGACTGACCCAGTCAAGATGAAAAAACAAAGGGTACAAAACAAACTGGGGAGTTTGGGAATCTCGACTAGGATCATAAGAAAAGAGAATGCCGAAAATAGGCCGGAAACGGAATTTACTCACATTAACTAGGTAAAAAAGTGTCTATCATAACTATGAAGATTGTTCGTCAGGAAACCGCCCGTTGCGTCAAAGGTGACATAAAAAGAATCAAAGCTGACTCGTTCACTCAAACCAATCTCGCCACTTTTACCCACCTTTCTGTCGACAACAAAGGCTTTCTGTCAGTTCTGACCTTCATCTGGAGCTAATTTCCAAAGAACTCTACCAGATTTTGATGAGAATATCGTTCGTATCGCAAAATTACCTCCATTGGCAACGTCCATACCACCATTCTTACCACTGCTAGCAACGTGAGAAAAACCATTCATTTTACCCCAGAATACGTGGGCGATACATTACCGCATGCGTATGCGAGATAGCCATTTATCTCGCATACCATGATCTGGATCGATACGAGCCGTCAATTCGCCGACATAGTCCCAGAACGGGCGCACCTGAAGACAATGGTAGAAAGCGTCCGAAGTCGTTTCCTCTAGACTTTTTTATGGGGGTTGGTTTGGATGTTGGTACGGAGGAAGGAGATGGTAAATCCTTAGTGGGAGAAGTGTCGGCATAGGTGTCTTTTCTGTTTGGCGAAGCAGCGGCAGATTGGGACATGAAATGTTCTATGGCCCTCTCCGCCCTGCTTACCCCAGACTTTTTTTCCTATTCGCAATTTCCTCTTCCTAATTCCTACTCCACCTTCCCTCTTTTTAAAGTCACAGATCATGGCGAAGGCATGTCTTCCACATCCATATCGCATTCTGTTTGTTGTTAATGTGGCTGCTGCTGTAATTACTGCTCTTCTTCCTATTCTTGATGCCGCTGATGTTGTTGTTGCAACTGTTGTTTTTTTTTCGATCTAACCGCCGTCCACGCCGATGTAGTAGCGGGAGGTGATTTTTCCGGTTGCTGAGGAGACGCCTCCATCCTTGTGGGGGCTCCCATTACAGCACACGCACGGACAAAAAGTTCGGACAAATACACAAATTAATACAAACAAACGCATGCTGGTTTTTTTCTTAGCCAATGAAATAGACCGGAATGCCGTTTGAAATGACTCCGTCCAAATCTGCTTTGTTTAGAAGACAGAACGCCACCTTCGCTTGTTAGAATTTGCTTTTGTGTGCCGAGGCCAATTCTTAATTTGTGAACTTTTGCTTTCTTACTGTTAATTTGCCTTGCATATATTGTCTGCTTGCTTGCTTGGTATTATTTAATTTTTGCCCTGTTCCTTTTTCTCTTTATCGCAAATTTTGTTAATTCTGCTTGTTGGACAGTCCTGTTATTTATTTTGCATTTGACCATGACTACTCAATCCACACTTTCCGGAATATGTCAAGATTGCTGACCAGCTCTAAAAAATCTTTGCGACATACTTTATCGAACACCTTTGCGTAGTATATAAAAAACGGGTTCACGTCTTACTGAGTTTGTATTGCTCTTTCTGATAACATTCTGAACATAAATACCGCTTTCCTTGTCCCGGTGTCTTTGAGCAACCTGTGCTGTTATTGCCCTATGTCCGCTCTAATTCTGTTGCGTGTACTATTCATCAGAATTCGGATAATGAGTTTTGTTATGTGGCTCATTATGCTGACTATCCGATGGAGTTCACATTCGTTTGTGACTGCTTTCTCCAACAGCGCTATGAAAATAAATCTGCTTAGATCTTCCTGTATGTCACCACTGTTGTAGATTTCATTTATTATTTCTGATCTTGCCTATGCCAAAAATCATCTTAGGCTTCCAACATCTCTATTACAATTCCGTCTGGCCCTGCCGCTTTGTTTCTGTTCAACTTGGCCGGTGCAGCTTCCACTTTGGTTTTTAATATTACGACTCTGTCGGTATTTCTGTGTATTGTCGGTTGTTCACTTTTGTCGTGGACGAGTTATCCGATATATCCGTTCCACCTCTGAAGTATTTTTTCCTTTTTCTAATATCAGCGTTCTGTCCTTGGATTTTATACAGTCTGTCGATGAGCATGTCTTTTTTCCTGTTAGGTCATTCTTCTACATCGAACTTCTGGGGTTTTGGCAAAGGTCCAAGAAAACAGAATTCTTGACTCTTGACTCTTGAACTACTTAACCATTTATTGTCAGGAACCTCTAACCACTGCTGTGGTTAGAGGTTCCTGACAATAAATGGTCACAATCAATGACATTCCCAATTTTTGACTAAATTTTTTTATAATCATCAATTTTTGACGAATAATTACAATGCCTGAACCCTTTATTAATAATCAACCAATTAAATTGCATTTTAAACAGACAGAAGTTAAACACGAGACATATCATAGCATAACCACACTTCTCTTCATCTCAGTTTAACTTTTGTAAATCATGGAACCATGAAAATATTCTTAAAGACTCCAGTTGTATTTTCAACTTCTTTTTCACACACACACACAAACGCACACACACATATATATATATATATCATAATTTCCCGTTGAAAGTGTGCAGAACTACGACTATCAGTTTCGTACGTGCTCTGAATTCTTCATGCAGTCGGCATTAAACTTTCAGTGATCTGGGCATTTTATTTACGTCTCGGCTAACCTGTGTAGTTATAATAAGAGCACTTGGTGAATGCATGTAATATAATCACCAGCTAAAATCCCTGCAAAGATAATGTCTAGATGACCAAGGATGTGAAACCTGTAAAGTCTCTGATATATATGGGGAGAAAAAATCGAAGTAAAAAACGCAAAACTCTAGAACACATTTAACAATGTGTCAAAATGGGCTCAACGGCAGGAGAAAAATAACATCATATCAAAGTAGCTAAAATGTGAACAACAAAAGCGCTTATCAGCTTAGGAGTTGCTTACTTTGTATATTATTTAAATGATATCTGAAACTTATTGTTCGGCAGTATGTTGCTTTTAGCGTTACGCTTCTTTCATAGTCCTCATTAATTCGCATACGACCAAACACTTTCTAAGTACGGTTTTGATTTTTTTTCTTCTGATGATTTTTACGCAAGTAATAGTGATTCTTCAGCATTTCCATTCTGGCCGCACAGGTATTCCTCCGCTCGGTGAGGAATACCTGTGCGGCCAGAATGTGTGCAAAGTATCTACACATCTGGTACCCTTGAACTGGCCGAGGGGCGGGAGTGCATAAAATGTTTATTTCCACAAAAACAGTTGCCTGATGAGGAGAGAAAACGCATTAAACTTTTAATTATGGTCGGTCACTGTTCACGGAGAAGTTATTTAGAATATATATATATATATATATATATATATATATATATATAGAGAGAGAGAGAGAGAGAGAGAGAGAGAGAGAGAGAGAGAGATTTAGTCATTATTAGTAATAAAATGAAACAGTTCACTTAACTCATTTTCATACTCGCAGTTTCATGGATCCTTTATAAAACGTTATATCATTGACAACATAAAATGCATAAAATTATCTCTTGGCATATATTTAAGAGTAAATTTCTTATGCACGCCTGCTTGAATAGAAAGTACTTTGTTTAAGATGTTTTTTCTGTATGGGTCCTTTTTCTGGTTTCCGGACATAGTTTGAACATTAGTGTCTTTTTTTTTTTTTGTTTGTTTTGTTTTTTCTATTATCCTTTCATGTGTAACTTTTTTTTTATTAGGTTTCTTCTGAAACTGAAGGAAATTTCATTGATGATATGCTGTTTTTTTATGGTTAAACTTTCTAAAATTTGTCATCATTTTCCACTATCAAAATTCATTCAAACATACGTGTATAATATATACATATAACGATCTATAGACAATGTGAGGTTGGTTGATCATTTCAGGAGTGAAACTGACAATGAATGTTGATTTCTTTGTTCGAAATGTCTATATCTATTTCCGATATTGAGTATTTCACACCTATAAATATAACAAATTCTAAATAATATAATTATATATATATATATATAGTCAAACCTAGGGAGCCAGGTTTCTCGTATCGGGTTTTTTCTTTGGGCTTTGGGCCTGTATGCTGTACGATTATTTTCGACAGACGTTCATGTTTTAGCTCTTTCTTTTTTTTAAAACCTTTTTTTCCTTCGAAATTGATTATATATATATATATATATATATATATATATATATATATATATATATATATATATATATATATATATAAAAACCTTTTTCCTTCGAAATTGATTAGCAAATCAAGAAAACGAAGGTTTTCTGAGACGAATGTAGTTACCTATATATATATATATATATATATATATATATAATTTATAATAATATATATACATAATATAATGTTAAAATTTATTTTATTTATAGAGAAAGCATGCTAAATAACGAAGCTAGGGCGTTGATCCTCATATCCATATATTCTCTCTCTCACTCTCTCTCTCTCTCTCTCTCTCTCTCTCTCTCTCTCTCTCTCTCTCTGTGTATGTATATATATATATATACATATATATATATATATATATATATATATATATATATATATATATATGTTCGTGTGTTTGTTTGGGATGTTTTTCATGTCGACAATAAACATATATATGTGTGTATGTGTGCCTGAAGAAAACGCTTAAAATAAAAGAAATCAAATCTTAATAATATTATATACACAGCCACAAAGTGTTGACTGTGTTCAAGAAATAAAACATTTGTATTGGTAAAAAAAATTAACATCACAATCTACATATTATGACAAAAAGATCCTTGATAATTTTTAATAGATTAGCACTCTAATCCTAAAATCATTTGAATAGTTCTTACACATTCTATTCCCCAAAAGAAATCGCTTGTATACATACTACAAAAATAAAATAAAAAACTTAAAGACAGTGACTTGCCAGTCAATTTAAAAGCGGGCTTACTGCCTATAATTCTAGCTTGTCTAATTATTTTTTACTTTATTTTTAGGGCTTTAATGTCGCCTGTATTTTTACAATCTCGCCGATTCAGAAAGTAACATATAATTCCAAATAAAATGTTGATCAGAATTTCTAAGTGATTTTTGGCCACTGGCATTACATAACATTTCTGTCTGTTATTGAATGCAATTTTCAAGAATTCCCTCTCCAGCAACAGGAATGCACCGTTGAAATATCAACATTTTCATCCTATCTTCTTTTTTTATTACGTTGTATTTTATTCCCTGATGGATTTATCAAAGAAAACAAGACAAATATCGTTCACTTTGTCGTTTTTCTGACTGTACCGAAGAGACATTAGTCTGCACCGGTTACACAGACCTATAACACTCGTAGTTAAAATACAATTCTTCTCTTATTCAATTCTATGCATTCTTTGAGATGTTCGTTAACCTTCCCAGACAATCTGCTAAGACAATTCTTTATTGAAATCTAATTTTACCATATTGATAATTAATGCAAGTTTCGGGTCTTTTAATTACTTTGAAATCGTTAAATTTTATTTAAATCTAGTTTATAATGTGAGAAGATACAATATTCTTTATTTAAATGTTAATTTTTCATTAAGAGAAAGTATATAAAAGAAACCATTAAGTTAAATGCAGATGACGAGGAACCTCTTTCCCACGGGGTGTAGTTATTTTAATAATTAGACACCAACATCAAAGACATATTTTTAAAATAGTTTTTTTTATATACCGAAAATCGTCCGATTTTCAGCTATAAAACATAACTCCGCAAGTTTCCATTCGTAGTCTCCGGTTTTATCAACCATAGATTGACTATCCATCTCCGGTAAGTCTTGTGATTTTCGCTTGTCCTGTTTTTATATAGACTTTCAAATGCACATCAGTTTATTTTCTTCGCAACATACGATTTGGAAAATGAAGCTTTCAAATTTTGACAGATTAAACACAATAAGCAAATATTCCACAATGCTAGAAAATCTGTCAGAATTTGAGCGTGATTTCGGCAAGTTATTTGGTTTTATTCTTGCACAAAAAGAGTACTTCTAAGAGAAATAATTTCAGTAAAAAGAATCTAATGACTATGAATTATTTCTGATAATACTTAGATTTAAGATTGATTTTCTTATTAAACAATAGCGAAACGTCTTTACCTTATAAACAAACGCATGAATCGTCCTTGGTTTCATCTTTTGTCGCATTATAGAAAACCTTTTAAGTAATGATTCTTTTCCGGGACCTGTTCATCATTAATCATAATCAAATTAGCAAAGGATCAACTTCAGCATTAGGGAAGCGCAATAATGATTCTATTACTTTTTTGTGAATGTGTTAGGCAGACCGAAACTATTATTTAATACACCGTATTCTCAAAACCCAATTTTTTCCATGTTACTGAAGATCTGTTATTTCAGACAATACGTACTTATTGCAACAGTATTATAATCAACGCTGTCGAAGTTTGACACAAAGATCAAGTGGAGTAGGTGTCTGAGGGCACCGGCTTATATGAGAACACAGGTTTTGTTGCATTTTGTAGCTATAGACACGCAACAATAATGCTTTTGTCATTGTCTTGACATTTTCCACTTAACGCTCTACAGTCGTTGGCTTCTGTCGTACTAAACTTACTAAAGATCTATACTGTATTTCCTACCTTGTAACATGTTTATCTTTCACTCTCGAGGTGTCCAGGTTTTTCTCTGACGAACAGTAGAGTATGCTTACAAATATTCGCAAAAAAGTTTTCCGCTCTTTAAACTATAATCAATAAATGGGAAAATACGAAATTTCTAAAGAAAAATGGTATATGCTACAATATTCTTAAAACTATATAAAAAAAATATACACGTATATATCTGCATTGTGCTTAATGTTTTTGTTTTTTTTCTTTAATTTCTCAGAACGCAATAACTATGCCCCTCTTGTAACAATCCTGTTTAAATGATGACTTGATTTCTTCTTTATTTAAGAAATTTCTGACTGACTGAAGTCATGGCAGCGAAAATTATCACCTTCTTGGCAGGTAAATCACGATTTATATCGCTTTCATTATTGCTGCTCTTTTGGGCTACTACATTGGCAGAAAATTTCGCAATTAGCCTTCACTGAAAATGAATATTAATCTACAATCACAATGACGGTTCAATGAATGAAGATTTAAGAATAATGCCTAAAGTCTTTGTTAAATATGAGGTAATGAAACATACATTCAATTATGAAGTTATTATTTAGTTAAAGCTTGCAAATTTCTGTCAGAAATTATTTGGATAGTTTCGAAGACGGAATTGAATCTGCTTGGAGACTAATAATAATTATCTATTATTTATTCTTAAATTTTATAAGCAAGAAATACGATCTTTTGTATTATTTTCTATTATATTTTAGGAGCATGAATATAATATCCTTCATTACTGTAGTAATATAATTTCTGTTTTTATTATATTTTAAAAGCAATAATATAATGTCCTTGATGATTATAGTGATAGTATTTCTTTTATTATTATTATTATTATTATTATTTCCATCGATTTCTGCTGTATATTCATTTCCTTTCGAGTCTCAACCAGAGACAAAAGGTCAAAAATGACATCATGACTTTTTCACTGGACCTTTCTTTTAAAAAAGTAAAAATTAAAATTAAATAACTAAGAGCACGCACATTTTACATTGATAATAATGTCAATAAGCAAATACTTCCTGAATTTATTGACTTTTATGATAATATCAGGTCTGTTGGCTTTTATTCCCCTGTCAGTTTGAATTGTCATATCCCAGAGGATTGTTACATCGTTATTTTGGGTAACTGTGTCTGGTTGGTGCTAATAGCGTCTCTCAATAGCGTTTCGATTCTGTGCTTCTTGCATATCTTCCGTGTACATATGTCGCTACCTTGTTATGTCTGTGGGTATATTCATTTTTCTGCTACTTTCGGACATTCTGAGACAATATGCTCGAGAGTGTCATCATATTTTCCGCAGATCCTGCATTTCGGGATAGTTCCATCCTTGATTATGGGACAGTGATAGGATCTGGCTGCGAGGCTATGGTCCTGAGCTGCCATTATTAGGCCTTTTGTCTCAGCTTTCAACCCAGTGCTCTTCAGCCACTGATTATTATTATTATTATTATCAGTTGCAGTTTTGTAGGACAGTTCTAGTTGAACTAATCCTCTGCCTCCTTCAGATCTGGGCACATACAGACGATCAACATAAGATTTGGGGTGATGCAGGCGGTAGCAAGTGAGAAGCTTTCTCGTTTTGGCCTCCATTCGCTTAATTTCAGCTATGGTCCAGTTAAGGACATTAAAGCTGTATTGCACCACAGGAACAGCCAATGTGTTTATGGCTGATATTCTGTTTTTGAGTTTAGCTCAGTATTTAGTACCAGACGTACACGCATGTAGTACTCTTTTCTTTATTTTTTCCTTCATTTGGGGGCTGTTGTATGCCATCTCCTTTATTAATTCCTAGGTACTTATAAGCTTCATCATGCTCCAGTTCCCTTTATCTTTGTGACAAAATCTAAAATCTATTAAGGGTGTTTCTGTAATTCTATCTTTCTTGAATGTTACTTTTGCACATTTATCTAAAAAAAAGTTCATACCTATGTCGTCACTGAAGTATTTTACAATATTGAGGAGGCCTTTCAACTCATTGTCGTCTTTGGCAAAGAGTTTGAGATCATCCATGTAGAGTAGGTGATTGAATATTATTATTATTATTATTATTCATGCATTCGCTCGTGATATCTGAATTAGAATATATCTTCTAAAATCTCCAATACTTTTCTCAGTAATATGCAATGATGACGTTTGATCAGTTTCAATTAATCCAATTCATTTTGATTCTATTTTTTTTTATATGGTTCCAGCCACACTATATGTACCTCTCACTCAGTTTTCTTATTTTCTGACGTGACTCTGCTATTTTCTTATTTGTTTTCTTTTGCCTTTAGCCTGGAGTCCGCTGATTTAGCTCCGCCTCCGATTTGGCAGGTCATCTTCTTTACTTTTCTGTTTCTATTTTCCATTATCTCCGGTAGCAATATTTTTTTTCTCCCTTGTAAATTCTGCGTGAACAGCGTTCTTTTCGCTCTTCTCTTTCTTATGATTTTCCCACTCCTCAGCACGTTGTCCTTTTATCTCTTGTGATTTTCACTGGAGATCATGTTGCAGCAAGACTACTCAGTATATTTCAATATCCTCTGATTTATTAAACCTAAGCATATGAGTAGTTCGAGTGTTGGAGTACTGATCATGAAATCCGGGTTTGCATCTTATCAGTAAGTCTTCTTCCAGCGTGTGGCACTGTTAAGTGTCTGAAAACCATACCAGGGGTTGGCATATGCCTTATGAATGTAATTTGAGTACACGAAACTTTTCGGTATCTGTCGATGAGTGCGCTTCACGAAGTCACGGGTCATTGTGACCGAAGATTCAAGTGTACAAGCCTTGTTCAAACTGTTGATCAGACAAGATCATGCGTTCCCTCCAAGAAACTGTAACTAAGATCTACTGAGCGTAATAAAAATATAAACTACAGGTTGGCTCTCTGGGTTTTGAAGAAACACAAATGTTCCTGAACAGATGTCTGCAACTAAGATTGACTAGTTACCCTAATAAACTCCACAGTCTCCCGAGACTGAAGAATGCCTTTTGCTAATATTTATTCTATGATTTTGAATCTTCTTCGGGTTTCCAATTTTTCAAAACTCTTGGTAAGGATCTTCGAGACTGTTCTATTGTCTCTAATAATTATGAGTAAAACAGTTTCACATTTTTTGATCCCCGGAAAGGTTTAGATTTTTTTTCCAGTTTTTCATTTTCTTAAAAAAAATATTGCCAATTGGTTCTAATCTGCTAGGAAAGTGATAATCAGTTTCATAATTCTTTCTATTTCTTTGTGCTATAAAAATTATTTTTGTAGGTACATAAACTAGATATCCCTGTTTATTTTCAAACATTGAAATTGAGGTCTTTTGATTTGATCGTTCTATCCTTAATTACGATAGCATATTCAGCCACCTGACCTTCATAATTATAATCATTATTACTTGTAACTGTATTATTAGTATCGCGATTTCTATTATGTAGCACTTATTGTTCGTAACATTTCTTGCAAGTAGTTAAATTTATAGCTTAGAAAATCTAATTGATATATATCAGGTTAAAATGTTCTTCACTCCTCCATCAATTCATCCTCTTCCTTTTCTATTCATTTCTTTCTAATTTATATTAATATATCTGGGATAATAATTGTTATTTTTTATGTTACAGTTATTGCTTTGAGTAACTATGCCTATGCCATTGTTCCTGGTAAGTATAATCTTTAATTTTAATTGTATACATGAGCTTCTTATCAACAAAATACATGCACCGACACGCACACACACAAACACACAACCATACACACACTCACACACACACACACACAGTTATATATATATATATATATATATATATATATATATATATATATATATATATATATATGTGTGTGTGTGTGTGTGTGTGTGTGTGTGTGTGTGTGTGTGTGTGAAAACAGTTATTATGGATTCGTCACGTTTACGTTGATGCGACTACACATCAAGATGAACATTTCTAAAGCAAAATATTTTTTCTACTTTGTCGTATTTTTGCCTAATATTTTCTTGATATTTATAAATTCATATAACGTTTTCCCATATATATATATATATATATATATACTGCGGACATATGAAACATAATAATGATTAACTGATATATTTCCTATAGCCTTTAGCTGGGGGGAAAGAGGTGGGTTCATACATTTCCCAAGGGTTTTTGCGCGTTCGTGAGGGGAAGTAAGAAAGGCAATATATGGCTACAAAATTAGTTACATTAACAGGATTGTAATTAGAGATTTAGTGGACGAGAGAGAGAGAGAGGTTTATTGATGACTAAACAGACAGACATTACGTCATAATACGCAAACACTTAAATATGATTGAATATATGAGCACGCAAATATACTAACGACAAATAAAGAAACTCATCAAGATTCAATCATCTAAATAACTACAGAGACAACTCAAACTGCCCGTCAAAATTGCACAAACATGGTAAATCAATATACAGATATATAAACATAAGCACATATATACATATATAGGCACACACACACACACATATATATATGCATATATACACATACATACATAAATATATATAAAAACATACATATACAAAACATAAAAACACATACATATATATATATAAATAAATAAATTATTTTTGTCAAGTAAATTAAGAAATATGAAATAGAAAGACGTATGTTAGGCTATAAAAACATAAAGTAAAGATAAATATACATATAAATGCACATTATTTCATTATCATAATATTATTATGCCATTATTACTATTCATATGCAAGTATCAATTTATCAGCTAAATTCAATGTTAATGAGAGACGTACCAATGAACGCACACCAATGCAAGTAAAAGTATATATAAACAATATGCATATAGACAATAAAAATATCAATAAAGAAAAGATATATAGATATACGAACATGAAAACACATATACAAACATATGTAAATGGACATAAAAACAAACACATATAAAAACAAACATAAAAACAAGCACCTACAAAGGTACGCTCTTATAGAACAGAAGAAACAAATATACTCACGTACAAACATCCTTACCAAAATAGCCATATGAAATTCAGATCCTATGTAAGATCAATTCAATAAGAGTTACAACTATTCAATATTAACTAAATAATCCACTTTCTATTGAATGCTTACCAAATAAAGTTAGATAATAATTAAAAATTTAAGGACAAAAAATTACAGACTTACAATATCATTTCATCTTTGCATACAATATTCTGTCTAGCTGGAAAGCAAGTTAAAAGATAATTTATGCCAGCAATTAACAGTGAGCACCTTCCTGTGGTTTAATAGGTTTATCTTCTTCTTAAATTTAATGATTTCTAGCTTTTCACGGAGATAGAGGTAACACGGTGTATATAAAGTATTACAGGTATGAGCTCTTCTAATTAACTTCCATTTAAACTCCAACAGTACTTGGACAGTGATGTAGCATGTTTACAAGAACTATTTTTGAAGGAAAACACATGCTGTACCAATGGCATTTAAATGGATTTTTAGTACCACCAATGTAATTTTTTTTTAATATTCGGGTTTTCAAGTGAAAATATAGTACTAAGATAAACCAGGGAACTAGTTTGGCAATTGTTTTGTAATTGGCAGTCATTGGGATTCCTACAGATACATCCACTAGTAATGATATTATAATATTTAATATTATTTAACGCATTACTACTGTTCAGCATGCCCTTTGAGTTTTCATATCTGTTAAATAGATTATTATGATGCTTTTAAATAATTTTTTCGAGGCAATACGCACAAATATAACTAAATTTAAGTGTATTTTTTATTGAAGATTTCGCTAGGCCCATTCGTTTTAGGAAAATACTTAGTAATAAGATTTAAGAATTTTAGCCCTAACTTAGTCTTAACCATGAGAATATATAATTGTTATAATTCCTAGGGGAAGACGCAGAGCTGATTTCCTATTCGTTACATTGACTTATGAACAAAAACCGTTGGGAAAAGTATGAATCTTCGTCTTCTTTCTTATCGTGTTGATTTTCTCATATAATCTAATATTAACGAGATACTCAATGTTAAGAAAGTTCATCTTAAATTTCTATTCGAGGAATATATTTATTTACTTATTTTCTTGTCAGGTATATTTGGTAGTCATGGTTACTCGGGCGCTACAACTTATAAACAGACGACTCATCATGCACCATACGGATATGGAGGTGTGTATGGTGGATGGGGTCTCCCTGCTGCGGGTGTAAGCACTTTCTCCCATGGGCTGCATCACCCCGTCGGATGGGGACTTGGAGGATACGGATTTCACTCCCCAGCAGCCACATCCTATAGCCACACCACTCACCACGCACCATACGGATATGGAGGTGTGTATGGTGGATGGGGTCTCCCTGCTGCAGGTGTAAGCACTTTCTCCCATGGTCTGCATCACCCCGTCGGATGGGGACTTGGAGGATATGGATTTCACACCCCAGCAGCCACATCCTATAGCCACACAACTCACCACGCACCATACGGATATGGTGGTCTCTATGGTGGATGGGGTCTCCCTGCTGCAGGTGTAAGCACTTTCTCCCATGGGCTGCCTCACTCCGTCGGATGGGGACTTGGAGGATACGGATTTCACTCCCCAGCTGCCACATCCTATAGCCACACAACTCACCACGCACCATATGGATATGGAGGTCTCTATGGTGGATGGGGTCTCCCTGCTGCAGGTGTAAGCTCTTTCTCCCATGGGTTGCATCACCCCGTTGGATGGGGACTTGGCGGATACGGCTTTCACTACCCAGCAACCTCAGTAAGCACAGTTCACCACCCAGTAGGTTATGCTGGATGGGGACTCGGAGCTTATGGAACTGGGTACCACTACCCAGCAGCCACATCCTACAGCCAAACCTACCATCACCCGACTGGAACAATAGGATATGGCCTCTACTAAGCGTGGTATACTGACGGATTTCCATCAACATTAATTCGGTAAGTAACAACTTAGATAACTACGTATATGTTAATGTATTTATTGAAAATATTAAATACTAAATTATGCTTTAACAGATAAAGTCTCCGCAGAACAACAATAAAGGTTTTGGCACATTTATCAGCACATGTGATCTGCTAGTGACCAACGACGGTGACAAGCGCGTAATCACCGCTACTGTTTGTTTTAAAAATCCATTTCTCTGTTATTTTATTTAAATTAAATAATTTATTCACCTCGTATTAATTATACTTTAAATCGGCTAGTATTCCTCAAATAAAATTCAGAAAATTATATTTTATTTTTGGAAGATTTTTAAAATAGAGAATTAACTTTTGTTTACAAATGCTTCAAGAATGGACGATTTTAAATGATTTTCTGGAAGTGGGCAAAATGTTGAGATTCAAATCAATATAATTCCTATTTGAAATACACCAGAGTATTTTGCTCGCTGGAAATAATAGATTTAATCATTTAGCTTTCAATTAAAACTAAAAACAAAGCTTCAAGAATGACTTTTAATCTTTTTTAAATTGATTTTAAACATTAGGCACCGAACATTCAGTGGAAGTACCTATATTTTATCTAATTATATGTTCCAGATCAAATTAGTATGTATTTAATACTAAATTTCTTGTGTAATAAATGTAAACTGTTTTGAAAATCGTACTCAGTGTTTTCTCTGTTGGACTTCCATTCACTTTACGACAATAATATTCATAATGGATAGAATTTCTCTACTTTTTGCATGATAACTGAGAGCCATTATTCTGCTTTTCATAAAACAGTATTAACACTAAACTGTAGATAATAAAAGTAAATTCCATCAAAACAATATACGAATACATGCATATAAACCCTTGTGCAAATTAACTGAAACAAAACGAATAATTCCGTTATTATTTACTTTTTCTCGTATTTTTCCGATGAAGCATGAGTCAGTGTACATGTTAGTTTTTCGTATGTCCATTCCACAAAGTCTTTCCTTGCAGATTGACCACCGATTCTTGACTGATTCTATACTACTTTGATTTTCTCATTGGTAAGGCATGCCAGTTCTTCGTGCAGTGTTACAATTTTCGTACGCTTCCTTGGAATAACGTCCTTCGCAAACAATGACCGTAGGACAATTAATCGACAGTCGAGACAATAATGTCTGGGCGTGATGAAAATCTGATGCAATCACGGATCACGCAATATTTTTTAAGACCAAACAAATTTCATCATACACAACGAAAATAGATCCATATTATTGCATAACACTGCAAATCTAATCTGAGGAAAAAATAGAAATCGATTACACCCTGTCACAATCCACACTCTACTGGATCTAAAAGTATGGTGAACGAAAGGAAACTGAAGCGGTTGTTTCAATTAATTTGCACAAGGGTATATATATATATATATATATATATATATATATATATATATATATATATATATATATATATATATAAAACAGACTCAGACTGTTGAGAAATGTTGAATTTATTTATTTATTTATCTATATCTTGATATTGGAAATTTGCTTCATATATCATTTAATTTGTCTTGCTTTGTTTTTACAAATATATCATGTCTACCTCTCTCTCTCTCTCTCTATATATATATATATATATATATATATATATATATATATAAAGAGAGGATTTTTTAAAACAGACATAAAATATTTGTATCTCAATGCTATATTGATTTCCTATTTATTCATAATGCCTGTTGTACTTAAATCCTGTTTTAATTCATTTTCAGAGTTTTCGTTCACGTCATTGTTACCAACATTGAAAAAGACCTTTGACCTCCTCCATACAGCAAAATCCAAGAGAATGCAAATTTGAATTTCAATTTTCTTTGTTATTTGAATATACCAAAATATTTGAATATTTGTAAAATAAAGTTTTGCTTTATATGTTTAAATCTGTTTTCTTTTTTATTACTAAACATTGCTAATCAGCTAAATAAGGCTTGTCTGTTGTAATAGGTGTAACGGCAGTGAAGATATAACAGTGTATCATATACAGACATGTTTTGCCACTGGCTGACCACAGACATTATAATAACTAAAAAAATGGTGCACACAATCTCTAAAGTGATATTTGTTCTAGCCTTTCCTTAGACGACAACAGTAAGATATTCCAAGCAGATATGACTGACAAGGACTGTAATCCCCAAACGAAAGGGGGAATGCATCAATCTAAATAGCAATTTGTTCAGCACATTTTACAGTCTAATGAAGTCCTTATTACATGGATTTTTTCCGTTTTATCATTCAATTACTCAACATTGTTCTAATATATCGAAATGTATATATCATATACTCCCATAATTTATAGTGTACATGGGAAGTAGTCGCATTAGTGCAATGGGAAGTAGTTCCATTAGGATTGTTAGTCATCGAATTTCATAGATACTATTATTGACACCATGTCACTGCTTAATACGACACACCTGATTCAGAGAACTTCGCAATATCTCAGAAGTCACCTTCTAGTTCCTTCCATCAGATTGTCGATTTTATTTATGGAGAATACCCTGAGGATCCAGCCTATCAGCAATGTTTTATGCAAACTTGTACTTGTTTTGTAATTGTCCGGGGCGTGCTATACTTGAGTTTTATTTTATTTTTTTTTTATTGTTCCCTCAATACAGTTCTGAGGAACAATCTGTCTGAGTGGAACTGTTTTACCGATCGTTTGACGGAAAAAAATAGTGTTAATTATGTTTTTTTTAGGGTTAGTGGTAGGCTACAGTTATAACTTTTTCATAATCCACAATTTATATTGACGCTTTAGTGTCTCTTACTAGTGTTTCTTTCACCTAGCCCTGTCATACATTTGAACAAAAATACTAGAAAATGTTTCCTCTAATAAGATTTATAGATAAATAAATGCATTTGTACATTTTCAATCAGATGTTTTAAATGTTCAACTCGTTGTACACACCTTTCCCCACTGAACTTGTGTCGCAAAAAAGAAAAACAATCAGTATTGAGATAGTGAGAAAGAAATAGGAAAGAGAGAAAACCAGGAGAGAGAGAGGGGGAGAGAGAAACAAACGGAGACATGTGGAGAGAGGGACAGACAAAAGAGGAGAAAATGACAGAGACACGGGAACAGAGAGAGAAAATGATAGAGATAGAGAAAACGAGGAATTTCACTTTTTCCAGTTTAAAAAAATCAAAAATTGGAGTTACTAAAATCATTGACATTTTCATAGTAGTTTTATTCATATAGAATGAAAATTTTATTGTAATTTAATTATGTACAATAATGGATCATAGCATCTTATGTAAACAATTCAACTAGAAAAATTGAAAATAAATACGATACAATGTATAAATACAAATCCGTCGGTTGGATCAGTGCTCCTCCATGTTAGTTTCTTCAGCGATATAGACCAACTATTCCTAAGAAATACCCAATGTGTAACAGGCAAAGATTGCATGAATGCTGAACTTATCAAATGTGGCTCGGTCTCTTTATCTGAAGATTATTAATGCATTCAATATCAGGTGTGAAAAATAAAACTTTACATTAGCAAGAGAAAATGCATTCACTACTTCATCACAGTCGAGGGATTTAGCCCGTTAATTTTCAATAGAAATCATGGCTAACCCGGATAACCTTTCATCATTTACTGTAGATCGTAGATAATTTTTTATTAGTTTTAGTTTACGGAAACTTCTTTCGTCACTTGCAACCGCGACTGATGTAGTAAGCGACATTCGCAATGCAATGCACAAGGTTCAACGAAGTCATTCCGAAAAATGTAATCTAAAAATCATAGGCAGTTTTTACTTTCCGTTATTTATTTATGATGTCCAATCCCCGTTTAAGAATTGAAGCAAATCTCTTAATATCATGGGGTAATTCTTCTAGTTCAACGTCAACTATTTTTGCGGGAAATCGTTTACAATGCGCCTCCAGACACCCACACTTCATCGCATTTAAAAGGAAGTTTGAATTTTGAATTAATCTATAAATTTCATGTCTCTGGGATAACTGAGAAAACCGATTATTAATTGAAGACAAACTCTAGTTAACAAGAGAGATAAAAAAAAAATGTCCTCACGAAAACGTTCTTTGAACTTCGGCGCACGACTCGTATTCAAATAAACGTTTTTACGACGTCGCACTTGTGATTCAAACCATTTATCAATATCATTTTCTTTTGCAATTTCACACGCTGTCGACATAGCAGAAGTATAACCAAACTGCAAGTTGCATTGATCTCTGCGTTCATAATATCGATAGTAACATGAGAAGATTGTAAAAATTGACTCACTTTGTTCACCTGAAACAGAACATCATACCAAATGATGATGCTAAGTACAAAGTAGAAATCCAGTCTAGCAGTGAGGTTGCTTCAGTCGCTGTAGCAGTCTCTCTTTTCCAAATAATTTTCTCGCAGGCTGAGAAGCGCAGATCTAATGTTTTGAAATTGAAAGAGCAATGGTTTGACTGCATTCATTCGTGATTCCCATTTTGTATCACACTGTGCTTTCAAAGAAATAGTTATATACGATAATAGTATCTTTCAACGAATGGTCGAAGCAGAAAATAAGGAATATAAACAGTTAACTACTTTAAAGAATGTAACCGAAGCCACCAATGACTGTGAACTATCAGAGAAAACCAGATTCAATGTGTATACATTTGATGGCATGAATAAAGCTTTATTATTTTTTATGAAAACAGAATTTACACTTAAAATATTTTTACAGAATACACATAGATTTTTTGGTTTTAGATTTCAAAGTTAAAACCCAGATAACCAACACATTTATTTTAATTCAGTCACGATACTGAATTCATTGAAGAAACCCCGGGAGAATTTTAATCTTGAAATTCTCTGATAACTTCAAAAGAGAATTTCGTTTCAGTCAATATACTGAATTTATATTTTAAATATTTAAAAGAAAATGAATGGCCGAATTTACGCATAAATCCTCCAGGTTAAAG